CTCCCCCAAGGCAACAGGTATGCGTATAGCAGGAAAGAGAAGACAGGAAATGAAATAGCCTTTTCTGTAACCTTTCTAGGACCTTTGGCCTAACTTCCTCTCAGTGTCGCCGCCGTGTCTACCATGTAGAAGTAACTATGGAAAACACAAGCGAACACACTAACAGACACACCGAAAACAAACCCTCCCTATATGGCCTTATACTGCCTCTGCCATTTACATGTTTGGACGACAATGAACAATATGTGTCCTTTCAGTTAGTTTTAATACAATTATTCTTTAAAAGAACCTTCCTCGCCAGTTAGCAATTTTGTAGATTGTCAGGACTTGTTGCTTCGCCTACGATTTTAAACGTTTAAGGGTCACCAATACGTAAGATAACTTTGGCCTTGTTGAAATATAGATATAGAAATATTATACAGCAAATGTATTTCCGAACAATTGGGCTTCGTTACACCAAAAAGAAAAGAATAACCAAACACAGACGAAACCTGATGCAACACCCGTCATTTGTACATTGCTAAGGAACATTGGAAATGAAACATGTGCAGTACAACAGAGAAAATGGCCCCAGCAATTTAGACATAAATCCTTGGTATACAAGATACACGATCTCTTTATTGGAAATCGCAGTGTTGCCACTGAACTAAATCCAATTTACAATTCAAAATAAGGAATCCATTAAAAGCTGATTACAAATATGGACAAATTATGCACACACATTACAAAAAGAGGCAAGTTACTGTCCGTGCTGGTTTACAAGTCTAGTCATGTACGGCACACAAGTTACAAGTATACAATGATAGAGCCCTGATGCTCATAACCACATTCAACAACGATGATGACGGTTCAGATTGTCTTGCCAGTGGACATACAGGCTTCCAATCTCATATCACACACAACCTCAAACGATGCATAAAGAAACTGCATCAAATATATATGGATTGTATCCATTTGCTTCTGGCCTGTCCACATATCATACATCTACTCATGTCTGTTCTTAACTTAGAAATAATGTGGGCCTTTATATTCGTAGACCCATATTGTTGCGCATAGTGTGTGTATTTAAGATTAGGGCCTTCAACTATTAGTATTACTCCAAATTCGGTGTAATAGTTGAAGACTCTAATCCGAAATACAATCTGTAGTCACAGAGTTGGGCTTTGAATAAACGCACAGTGGCAATGGTAATTCATTATGTTTACCGAAGGAAAACATATTGTTTTTGCTCAATTTCTTCCTCTTCTTCTACTCCAAACAGTGACCTATGACCTGACCAATGACATGATTTGTTGACGCCTGTCACCATGGTGACTGGTGTTGGGTTACATAATGTTGCAATTCCATGGTCTGCTCTGCTCCTGTCACCATATACTAGTAGTAACGTTACATGTATGTGAATTGAGTGAGAGTTAACAGAGCAGACCATATGCGAAGGTTAACATTATGCATTTGCGTTGCAAATGTTACCTTTCTAGTAAACTGCTTTCGTAACTATGATTATGAATAACAAAACCCAAACCACTTGGCAGTCTGAACGATGATGGTAAATTCTTAAACATTACGATTATGATTGAAATCACCCCGACTACTACACCATTGCTGGTGATACATTGATAACATGTAGACATAGATAATCATAACAAAGATGGCAATGATGACATTGATTATTTCATACGTTTACTTCCTTACACTGTTCTTGTATCATATTGAATAGCGAAGTTGTTTATTCACAACCAATTGTTTAACATGAGACGGCGTTTCGCCCTGATGACCGACTGTCATCTTCATCAGGGCTCTATATTACAATGTATCATATTGCAAGATATTGCATGCTCTTTGACATGTATTAACTTAAATGTATGTCCAGTAGAAAACTTCAGTGTAGTATCGCAAAGATTTTGCCACTAAAAGTTTGAAAAACGACTTACCAAACTGAAATGGGGCTGTATTATAAAGATACCCTACTATGGTGTAAATATACCGCAAGGTGTATTGAAACCTATGGTCCTCGTAAGAATGAATGAATGAATGAAGACCTTTATTGTACATTTGTGTTCTACAGAACTAAGTACAGGTCGCATGGGTACAGAACATGAACATAAACATATATACATTACATACATATGAACATATAGGAGTGTAAATAAATGTCTAATTTCTATTCTTTTCGGCTTCATCTCGCTTAGTAGTGATTGTATGGATATATGCGGCTGTGAGATTACTTAGAGTAGGTTTATCAAAAGTTAAAAGGAATACAAATTTGTCTTTACTAGTCAAATATCTGAAGTGGGGAAATATACTTAATACATGGCTAAAAATATGAGTCTATCTCTACTATACAAGGGGCAATCTATGGTGAAATGTATTTCATCTTCTATTTGGCCTAAACTACAGAATTGACAGGTTCTCGTAAGAATGAATTGCAACGATGTTAACAGCTACAAGATGATGATTACACCGCCTGTGACAACGATTCTGAAGATCGTTACGGTTCTTGAGTTGATGATGATATTGTTTGATCATCATTCCACACAGATCAGTCTATTGTAAAGGTAGCTAAGAAGACCTGCGTATACAAGGGCCCCTTACTGTAATTGCATTTGTCAAAGAAATATGATGTGGTCGTGACTACATCAGCGAGGTTGAATTTTTAGAGGTTGGGCCTCACGGCTGCTACACTTGTTCGGCAGTCTTCACCAGTTCGAGTGGGCATGTCTTTCCTTTGCGTCTGTCCCCCCGCTAGTGGCTCCAAGCGTGCTTAAATTTTCACAGGATTTTGCCTTCATCCAACCGCCTGTTACGGAGGCCTTTGATATGCATCAATGACATCGATGGTCCCATATCTGGTGTAGAATTTCAAAACCCGAAGGTGACTCATTAGTGAGAATACGGCCTTCCGGGGTGTTGCAGACCATTCTGTTTCTAAGCTTGATATATAATATTGTCTGTGTTCTCCTTATAAGCATGTTATTTCCGGATTCAGATATCCGCTCTGTAGATAACCTCTAGCTTACGATATCCGTCTGAAAAGAAAATGGCTGCCGGAACTTGAGCGATGAATGGTACTGAGTACTTGAGAGGCAGCCGATCTCACCTACACTGGCACAGTTAGGAGGGTCAGAAAGCCGGGCCTTCTGGTCAAAAACTCTCAAATACGAGAAAGCAGACTAGAATTAGAATCGATTCACTACTTGCTGGAGTAGATTCAGTTAATTTCCTATGTCAGAACTGAAGATAAACGTAAGGTTATCACCGATATGATTGCTGTATAGAATGGTAAACATCTAATCATGATTCGCTTTAAGTCTATAACTCACATATGCCTGTCTTTCCGAGTGAAGAGAGACATGCAGTTTCATTAGGTGGGGTTAACAACGCCGAATGGTTCTTTTGGCAACCCCTACTACTAGTATATTGCCTGGACAATACATTTCTCAAGTTCTCAACCCCGGAAACCCTTGTAGCTGTCTGGATCGGATCCGGGCATGAACTAACGCATGCACTTACTCTTCCAGGATTTATCTAGGTTTCTACTATTATTGTGACTCTAGCAGAACTTATGTCCATAGACACCAGAAGAGAGTGGAAAATGCCATGCAGAACTTAAGGATCAAGGAAAGTATCCGCCAGATATCATTCATTCATGGCCGCATTCAGGTGCTGCCAATGGACTAACCTTTGACCTCTTGTTTATTTCTAATGACGTGGCTGCTCTCGATTCATGGACCTTTATTTTACCGAGTCAGGCACACATCTGTGAACTCAGCCCCATATTCTGAGTGACAACCTATCATAATATAGCAAAAATAAAGCGAACACATAGAACTACTACCAGCAGAATGACTATCCTTCAAATAAGCTTTTACACTCATGAAATCATGAAATGACAATGAAAGTAGTGAAACGGTGTCATCATCAGAATAAAGGCGAGTTAAAGAAATTATACAACGAAGACGACTTTGGTTAGTCTGATGTCTAGATTACTTGACAAATAAATATTTCACAAATACATGCATTGTATTTGATTATACAGTAACTCGCAGTTCAACAGAATTTGTTGCGTAGTTTGTTTATTCACTGTTCAACAATGATGGCGGTCTGTTTACTTTTTAACCCGGAGGCGTAAAAACTACAACAAGGAAACGATCTATTCCTGAAACCCTTTCTATTGCATGCTTAATATCCGGCACAAATTGTTTAACTCAGAAACTAGATCATGCTATCAAAGATAGGCTATTAGAGGCATGAACAATTATGCAGAATTTTTCACCTTTAAATTTTGTCGTCTGTGTCAATATGATTTTGTCTTGGGGACTAGAGGACGGGTCAGGTTTATAGTTCTTGGATAAGAAGACGCCACAAGAAGTGAATAGCGTCATCAGTGTGGCAATGCACCATTGGTCAGCGCATGTTATAATCTACTTCCCCAAAGCTCTAGATAAATTCCGCACTCAGTCCGTAGTTTTGAGTTCCGCCTGAGCGAGTGACTACCAGCTAACAAGCCGTGTGACGGTGCCTAAGTACACGGTGAGTATAGCCTCTACCAGGCTTCGGGAGGCGGCTGGAAAGAGTAGAAATCGGCCAAATAGAGAGAGATAACATGTAAGGGAGCGGCAAACTGTACTTTCCAGCGGACCTGAACTCTCTTAGCATGTTATCTCTCTCTCTATTTGGCCGATTTCTACTCTTTCCAGCCGCCTCCCGAAGCCTGGTAGAGGCTACGGTGAGTGTACTGTAGCTGTACGCGGGGTATTGAATTATGCGATGCGTCACCACAAAACCTTCACACAGGTGCAGAGGTTAGCCGGACTCACGCGAGGGCTCTCTCCCGTCAGATAGCTGTCGATCCGTTCCTTCCGCGTGTCGATAGAGAGTGTGTGTATTGATTTATAGAAAATGATTGGTTTTATTATTAACCATGGCCTCATTGTGCCTACGGTAGTTTTTCATCTGGTGTATTTCAGCGAGGGACTGCTGTAGTGTATATGTAGAGCACAGGTGCAAGTGCCACCGATCAGAGAGTTAACAACACATGACTGTCAGACGACAGAAACACACATTTGCGTAACCGGGGGCATGTTCGCGACTAGTACTGGTAAAGGCTGTCTGTTGGACGTGATTGGGCGCCCGTCAAATGGTAGACCAATCCCGGACCCGTGCACGGAGAAGGACAAAGATTGCAGTGTCTCTCCTACCACCCCGCTCACTGCGTTCTGAATAGATTAGATAACCCCACTAGTATGGACAGATGCACTGCATACATACACAGAGTGAATACTAGTAAGAGAGAGCAGACCTACCAACAAATTCGCAGCTATTAAAGAGACTTTAACGCAACTTCCATGAAAGTCAACCGAATTTACAGGTGTGCACGTGATCCATCAGGTTAAGAACAAAGAAATTGTTCGAAAGTCCAAAGTGGAGAATTTCTTACCACAGCAACAGCGTGTGTTCCTGAATTTTTAGAGGTGTAAATGTAGTTTTAAAGTTACAAATGTTGTGAAAACAAGTGAAGGATGATGCCAGCAATGCTGTAAGTTGTCCTTGGGTGTGGAGGTGAGAGAGTCTACCATCATGCCGTGCGCCCCAGGGGACTCCTGGTGCCAGCAGACAGACAGGGAGAGACGCCATCTTGGATTCCACTTGGTGAGTTGGGCTCCGCCGACATTTGTCCAGATCTCTTGCCTTCCACGCCGCTCCCGCTGCCTGATTCCATTGTAGACTTTGAGGGGAATCCTCCAGGAGAGTGTGTAGGTACTTACTTTTGCCCCTAGTGGCAGGATTGAAAATATTTTGGCCAGTTTATGACGGGACGCACTCCCTATTCTTTACACGGCCTGAGCCAACATTCCACTCTCTGTGACAATCACTCACCCAGTCGTAAGTTACGAGAGAACCGCCGAAATCTCCCCAGATAATCTCAAATTCGGCCTGTCCCGTCAAAATCTCTCCGTAATTTTGTAGATTGAACTTTGTTTTATCCGTCTCGTGGACCAGTTTGGCGTTTTTTGATGTTGAGTGAGATTTTTGAGGGAAAATATCGGGGAAGTGCTTACGTGCCACCGATATAAAAACCCGCAAGAAGACCAAATTAGCATCCAGGCGGCGCTGACCTTTTAGGTAAACATTGCATCTCTCGCCGTGTTCGACCAATTTACTAACTTTCCTCTCACTTGTTTCTTCCATGTCTCACCAGTGTTTAACAGATTATAGAACTTACGACTCTAAGTTTTTGCCTTGTGGGTTTTATATGAGCCGGCGAAGCTGAGAAATTTCCGCGAAAGTTGCGTGTTTCGCAAAATGGTGGGTGATTTCGTTGAACTTTCATGGCCGCTCAGTACGATTTATTCGATCGATAACACCACGTCTCTGTCGAAATTGGGACTGGAACAGAGGCTCCTAGAGGCGATTTTCGCCACAGTTTTGACGTTCCCACTGAGTACAAACTCTCAGCATACGAATTTAGTCGTGGAATCGTGATTTTGGACACAGTGGACGCAGGCACGAGCCTAACATATGCTGTGCTGCGCACATAATAGCGGGATGGCATGTTGTCTTGCTGCACTATCACAAAGGGCGTTTGACTGTACGCAGCACTGTAACAACACATGACAAGTTGATTACAACTCCATGTAAGTGCTCATCAAATCACCTCATGCATGTAAAACAACTGATTGACGTATTGCTGTAAATCCTTTCCAACATTTTTGCAATGCTAGCCACTGCCATAGGGTGAGGGCATTGAAACAGTACAATGCACCTTGCACTGTAGTAGTAATATATAGGGGCCAACCTTCTAAAGAGAACATTACAAATACATTATGTAACTGTTACACATTTGAAGATAGTATTGTATGATACTTTGTTGACAATTACATGACACTGACATAGCCGAAATTAATTGGTGTACACTATTCCCTTTCTAGAATTTTCTATATGTGCGTAGCAACCTCACTCCACAATGACCTTTGTACGTTGCTTTGTCCCTGTGATTTATTTGTATCAGGAAAAGTTCCTGTTTTAACCTGCTTAAATAAATGCTTCCTCTGTCCTAGTGTTATACCAGACCTTTAGCATTCTTCTACTTCCTTATTGCACAACAAATCAGATTACTGTGTAACCAAATAGTAGTGTATGATACACTACACAAGTGTAGTACAACACTCTAACTGGGTATCAGTGGCCTTTGTTTCTGAAGGGACATGTGTTCATGTACAATAACATGTGCATAACTCACTCACTAGCAGATATATATATAGCTAGAACTTGTCAACATTAGAATGTACAAGGAGCATGTCTCTAGGATATGCTTGAAGTGTTTTTTTTTCCTACTCCTCAGAGACAATATGCCAGGTCGCATGTATTTCTCTGAGTGCAATATGATCAGCATGGGGTTGGGGTAGTGCTTCAAAAGCATGTCAAAAGACATTGTGTTTGTCCCCCCATGCAGCACGCGCGGCTGTTGTCAAGAGAAACAGTTAGTGGGCCAAACGTGGACACATTGTAATACAGTCTTCCGATCAGCTCGCAGGTAGCTGAACTGCCTAAAGTCTTTTAAATCCTTAGAATGTGATCATGACATGCTACATGTGTGCCATGTGAGACTTGTCCATAACAGACACATGCTGGCCACACCCATATTTGTTGCTAAAATCCTGACCTACTGGCCATTGCTTGGCACCTTGTTAAGCTATCTTCCACATTCTTTCCCGTCAGGGTCCCCTAGGAGGGCCAGACACTTCTTTCACTGAGATTCCATGTATCCTAATCTGTCATTTCTCTCAGACACGCGCACATTACTATGCACCCCATCACCAGTTGTCCTTGGCGTGACCTACAAACGATATTGGGAGGACAAGTGTAGTGACAACCTGTCTGTAACAACAAGAGGATCGCCCCAGGTAGTTCAACTTTGAGGGAAAGAGGTTTCTTGTGGCGATCCCATTGCTATTTTGCGTAAAACTGTCACGCAGACAACAAATAAAACCAACAGTTTTTCTGTTATGAGACATAAACTGACAAACATGAAATATTTTATAGATGGCACTGTTACCAGAGTGATAGATATTGCTTCTACACAGACTGGACTAAAGCAGTAATAATATTTTATTCTGCAATGTCCAGGCCGGGTGTATTGTACTTGCAATAACAACATGTCTGTCAAAGCTTTCAGGAGATTACCAACTGTATGGATTGGATGCGATATCAGATTCTATGACTCATTGGGTGCATTGTGGGGTGCGTCAGTAATGTTCATCCATGCTACAATGTAGCACAGTCATCACCTAGCATTGTCATGACTACAATTGTAGTAAGATAGCGTTTATGAACAACATCACCAGATTTCTTATTTAAAAAAAATCTTTTTGTTGATAAAAAATCACAATGAACAACTGAACAAATTGTGTTTGGTAGGGAGTTTCAAAATATTGCAATTTGATATGAAACCGGTTTGGTTAGAAAAATATGTAATCGACAGTGGCTGTCACTTCTTTGAAATTGTGTTATTATTGCAGAGTCCAGATGTTACACATTTTAACATATAAACACTTTTCAAAACTTTTTTTTTTTTTTTACTGAGGGCTGATGCGATTTGTGTTGACAACATCATTAAGACCTTTTTTAAATCATAGTAAATTGGCACAAACTTGTTCTATGTTTTTTTTAACAGATATCTCTTTGTATATAATTTATAATAGCGGCTAAAAGCTAAATATTGTTTTGGACTTCAAAATCATATGATACTTTCCCACAGCTACTCCTATGTGTACATCAGTGCCTTAAGGCAAACAATTATAGTTTATTTTCTCAAAGTTAGGAAAGGCCTAAATCCATATTTGCTGTACATATAACGATTCCACTAGTCCATAGGGACTAATTGAGTTATGGTACTGAAAGGAAAAGTATGTAATGATATGATGAAACATATATGACCCATTTTTTGCCTGACTTGTCACAGATTTGTACAGTTCTCATTTATGAATAAGTCTTGGTACACAAATAGAAATACAAAAGTTGAATTGTTTTGGAAAAAAAATCATTTCTAAATTATTAATTTCTACCTGCAGCTATTTGTCATTTAATCACTGAATTTTTTTCTCTGTAGCTAGGTTTTCAGGTCAGCAAAAAATTTAAATCTTGCATAGAGGAAGACAATTTTCCATGCGTTTTCTTTACTTTACTTTGAATCCAGCAATCCCTACTCTCCAAGCAGAGGTAGGGTCGCTCAGTATTTTGGCAGTATTTTCGCGTTTTTAATACGTCTTTCTACTTTTACGGTTTTTCTCTGGTGTAAGGGGAGGAAGACCAGAGAAAAACCGTAAAAGTAGAAAGACGTATTAAAAACGCGAAAATACTGCCAAAATACAGAGCGACCCTACCTCTGCTTGGAGAGTAAGCAATCCCTGCTTGGAAGAAGTAGTCACATACGGGGTCATGACCTTACCGAGTTGACCTGACATGACCCCAAAGTTGTGTTTACCCTTGGAGCAGAAGTAAACAGTGTTGGTCTAGATGTAATCAATAATTTCCTATATGTACTTTGAATTTGACTCTGATAAATGTTATCAAAGGAATTACGGTAAGTGGTTATACCAGTGGGCATTTTGGAAGCAAGTGACAAAACGTGATTCTCTTTTGAAACTCAAAACATGTAAAGTAACTTGTGACCTCTGCACACATGTGTTTGCTAAACAATTTGTAGTTGGCCAACAGTGACAATGTAGTATGTATAATTGTATTGTATGTACTTCACCACATGCTTTGTCATGAGGTCTAAAATGTACACTAAGCCCAGAGAACAATAGGACAAGTCCTGGGGCTATTGTTATTTTTACTTTTTAGTCGTCAGACCTCTTTTGACTTCTTCATTTGTGGGACAGCATCAGGCCGCATTAAGGAAATACAAATGTACTGACTTAAAGAATGGTTCAAACACAACAACTTCAACTTTAAAAGAGGGGTTTTTGGTCTGTGATTATGGATAAGAGTTTTTACTAAACATAAATATTGATGAATTGGAAAGTGATGGACATTAAGACATTTTCTAATACTCTGAAAGTCAGTCCTTGAGGTTTATTGAAGTAATTGAATAATGTGAAAGTAGAGCTGTGTATTGGGACTGTGTACCAGTACTAGTACTGTTATTATCTTGAAAGTTCATCTGTGTTGGTAGAGTCATTCTGTAACAAGATTGAACTGCAATTGCCAACTTGAATCACACCAAGTTTTTGTGTTGGAAATTGCAGTTCAATCTTGTTTCATAGTACTGTTTTCGATTAGTACAGGTCCAAAATATCTAATCCCTGAGCATGGTACTGTACCTATATGAAGTCACACTAAGTCTAGTTATATACTTATTTGTGGCCTAGTAGTAGAAGCATAGTTGTAGTAAATAGCAGGTCCCCATAGGTCCCAGAGACAGACAGTGTGTTTGTGTTATGACTTATGTTACCAGGAACAGGTCCAGACCTGTACCTAAACCAGTCCTGTCTACCTGTACCTGTACCCAAAATTTGTAAGTACACATCTCTATGTGAAAGCACAATGTTTGCAGCAAGTTAAAACTGCTTTTCTGTCTGAATAACAATAATTGAAATGGCATTCAGATCATAGATATGTATATGAGTTCACATATAGTAGGAGAA